TTATTATTATTATTATTATTATTATTACCATCAGCACTACGCAACGCCCAGCGGACATGCCTGTTTCTTACTTTATGGCTCTGCATTTTTCTCTTTTTTTCGGCGGAGGTCATCGTGTCATCATTAGTCTATGAATTGAGCTGCCTCAGTAAACATTTTTACCTTTACAAATGAATTTCTTGTAATCCTCAAAAACCGTATATCTTGAACACATTAACGACATACAAAACAAGGGGTTTGGGGAAAAGATTGATAAAGTAATCAGACAAACAATTTTTAAAATAGTACTTTCCGAATTTAAAATAATGGTTTTCTAATAAAGCGTACAATGCAGCAAGCACAATACCAGTGTATATGTGCTGTGAGGTATTTGTTTTAAAATTCATTTTGATGAAAATAATTTGTGTAACTCCACCATTTTATAACATTTTTAGTTCCATGTTTAAGGATTCCATAGCCTTTATTAAAACATTTGATAAACGTTCTATAACAATTCTCCATCCATTATTTATTAAGAATTTTGTAAAATTAGGTTATTAAAATAATCAATTGATTTCATCTCACTATCGTACAGTAACATGCGTTTTTGAAGGGTGGCCAAATAATATATTTCACCATCTCGGCATTGGATAACTTCAAATATTAACTGAAAAAGGAACTGTCAGATACCTCTTTAGTACAAATACTATTCGGTACCTACTATTTCTTTGCTGGGTGTTGTATTTGTTCATGGTTGAATAAAAGAAGGGCATTTCCATTTAATTGGGAGTGTAATTGTTAATAATTTTAATTGTGTAGTACAGTTTTACTCTTATTTTCTTAAGAAACGTGTTTTCCAAATTCCATGACTTTTCCTACACTTTTGAGCTTTTGAGTCAACGACTATACATACTAACAACAAGAAATATACGTAAGTATTTCACACCAAACTTAAGCATTCACGAATAAGAGACAACCAATAATAAAATAAAGTGAGATACAAAATATGCAGGAGTCCATCATCGCACAAACAATAATTAATGACAATCGCGAGTGGATATCTCCGGGAAGACGCCTGCTCTCCCGTTCGACCAGCGGCAGCCGACGAGAGCGCTCTCAAATGTTCACAAGCGACTGCAACGTAACATTTTCTTTGATTAGTGGATGGGTGGGCGGCGTGAAGTTGTGAAGGTCGGAGGGCCTCGGCTAACCGAGTGACGGGACCTAGCGGCGAGGGACTAGTCGAGAAGCGAAGACCGTCGCTTTCGCCCTCTGGTCGAGCAGCACCGCCACCGCTTCAGGATGTGAAAGACCCCGACTCCCCCTCCCCCCGCCAGTCCAACTTCCCTTCCAATACCAACGTCACGCCTCCATCACGAGTATCCCCGAAGCTAGGTTGCTCCTTTTTGGTTAGATAGTTAGTTAATACCTTATTTTACGTGGCGAAACTCGGGCCAGCACACCCGCTCTTCCGCCTGATCACGCAAATTTCGCTACGCTCCTTTCGCCATCTAGCGGAGAAAGAAGGTATTACTCGGGCGACGAAAAGGATTTTGAATTTGGCTCAGAGGCTTGTGTTGGGCTTGAGGTTCTTTTACATGTAGTAAATCTCCTACGTGGGACAGCTGGCTTTACTTCCCTTCTGAAGTAAGACGTACGAAGGATTTTTTTCTAATTTATTGCTCTCACATAAATTTACCATTTATTTCCTAGTCTAAGTGACACCCTTTTTGAGATTGAAACAACTTTGAAAATAAATTACGTTCGCCGAACAACACCTCGAAGACAAGAGAAAGAGGAAGTGGCGGAGCTGACTCACCCCGCTGCAGGCCAGCAGGCCGACGAGGAGCACCGCACGCAGCAACATGGAGCTTCGCCGCACACGCAGCGCCGTCCCCTGCAACAAAGCCAACACACGCGCGGTCAAGCGCTGGGTAACCACAACAACAACTACCCACCACCTTCGAACTGCTCTGTTCATTTCAATCGATAAACGGCTTCGCATCGCTTTAATCCCGTTGTCTGAGGCGTTTAGTGAGTCTCAGAATACCTTACAATAGTCAACAGTTGTGTTTAACGAGTTTTAATGCTGAAATTTCTCAAATCTTTCCAGTTCATAATATTTCTGCGTTATTTCTTCAGATTCTCAGGAAGGATTTAATGGAGAAAGAAGGGATTCTCCATTGATGTTTTGAAAAATCAACTTACGAGACTGAACTGTAGTTCGGCCTAGTGACCTCAGCTGAATCAAGCATTTTCCTTCCTCAATAATAATTTGAATCCTGAATATTCTTTGTAATTTTGGTTTTTCAATAAGAACACGAGTCATCAATACTCTTTGTAATTTTCAGGCATTAAAGATGTACACACAATCAAGAATCATAGGTAGGTCTTCATATCGGGCAATTGCTAAGAAATGTCCGAATTCACACTCACTCTCTTATAACACATCCCGTAATTTGAATTTATCAAAATTACTAGTATGTTATTATAATTTCTCTCAAAGACCACGTGTATAGTGAATGCCAATGAATTCCAAGTCTCACAGACCTGGCAAAACTTATTGTAATGCCAATACCTGTACATCTAACACACACACTGAAAGCACTGGAATCATATATTGTAATAAAAGTGTATCAGCTTCTTTTGCGAAGAAGTACATCTATTGCATAGAAGTACATTTTCAAGGGATACAAAGCAGTTTCAGTAGTGTTTCTGCGACAAATGACATTGGGAAGCTCCGTGGCCGCACCGTCTGATGCAGCGCAGTTTCGTCACGCGGAAGCTGTCAGCCTCCCTCTCGTCAGGGTGTCAAGAGCCTCGCGGGAACATGTACAGTGACAAGAACGGTTCTTTACAATGCAGGTTAGTAAATACCAAAAGGTCGCACACATGCGTGAATTATTAGCTGACAATAATAGTACACTTCTGAGCTCATGAAAATATTATCTCTATTTCGATAAAATGTGAGGGTTGCACTATGGTTGCACACAAATTTCTCTCAGTCTTTAAAAACAACATTTACACAACAAAAGAATATAACACAACGTTTTTTTGTTTTTTATTTAAGGTCGCATCAACTTTAAGGTCATTAGCGACCACTATAGCTTGCAACTGTATGGTAACTGTGAAGCTGACACGATATGATGATAGGGGATAAAAGGACGAACACAATACAACCATGTCCGAGGCGGGACCCGAACCCAGTATCCTTCGTTCCGAGATCACTACGGCACTACTGCCTTAGCGATCTCGGCCACCGGATCTGCAACACAAAATTGTATTACAACAGAGAGCGAAACATAAGCGCGTTGTATGCAAGTTCCTTATTCATGAGCCTCCGTTAGGAGCGTGTGCAGCGTGCAGATCTAACTAAAAAGGAAACAACGATAATCAGCTTTTTCTACTTGTCTTGAACGAACGAACCACGCACTACAAAACCCCACACCGATTAATAGACGTCGTCATGGAACATTTCTACACATTCGGAACAATGGCTCACCCGTTTCCCAAAACACTTCAAAATCTTGATAAAAGTATTTTACTAGCTGGTAAAATGTCATGTGAATCCACTACTCGATTGGAAGAGTCACGAATGCGTCAATATGTCAGCAGCTTGGAAGGCCGAAGGAGCCAAGAAGAGATTTTATACACGTAAGAGAAAATACGTATAAGGCTGAAATGTCGGGTAATACCGTGTAAGCAAATACATTTCCTTGCCCCATACGTTCGTTGTTTGACTAATTGGTCGCCCAAAACACACGCTCCGCTGGCGTGCTCCAGCGAAGGGTGGAGGGGGTAAGGGAGGAACGGGGCGGGCGTGTCCGCAGGGGTGACCAGCCGGTGATGTCACACGTGCCGCCGCGCAGCGCCTGTAACGGACCGTCGCGCCGCCGACCGGAATCCACAGTTACGGAACGAGATTTTTGAGCCGGTACAAATTACGGCGAGTGAGTGGGAGCGGCGCGGAGCGAGGAGGGGGAGGGGGAGGCGGGCGGGCGCAAGGGACCCCGGGAGAGGGCGCCCCGCCAGAACGGAGAGACGTCTCGTCGCGTGGCGCGGCGCGGCGAGGCGCGGCGCGGCGCGGAATTGGGGCAGGAGAGAAGGGGGAGGAGGAAGCTCCGCGTGGCGCCGCCGCAGAATGTGGCCGTGAAGATCCGTTATCGCACGCTTACCGCATAGCAGCATCCACTTTGTTACGCAGCGATTTACGTGACGTTGCGTCACTTCAAGCAATGCCTTGCGCCCCCAGCGAATTTCAGACTCTTCCTTTTCTGTTTGCCTTCTCGGAACAGTATATATAAAGACACTTACTGACTTTTGTAGTGATTTGGGGGCACATAAATGATACAGTTCGCTTTTATATCTCCGCCTTCATTCCCTTTAGAATGTCCTCATTAAAATACCATTCATAAAATGTAACTCAAACTTTTTACTTTCTCTTATACGCACGTATATACAATATTTAATATACGTACTATAGAAAAAGTAGAGATTTCAAAGGAAATACACGTTTTAGGGGTCCCGGATACCGAAATAACTTTTTTTTCAAAACGTCTGTCTGTCCGTCCGTCCGTTCGTCTGCCTGTTCATCCATCTGTCGTCTGTGAACAACACCAGTGCCTAATCTATTCATTTTGTTCAATTGAATGCTTACCGACATTCATTTGTAGCCTCACTCAATGCTCAATGCACTGCATGGATGCGTGTGCACTGTCTTGTTTCGCAAAGCGCTGGACCAGAACAGAAGCTGACGAGTCATAAACTACGTGCACGCAATTAAAGGGATGCGGGCAATTTATGCATTGACATTTCTGGTGACTAAACCATTACGTTTAAGTGGTAATACTAGACGATATTTAGCTACCTTTCACCCGTGCTATGTCTTAATCTCAGCAGTATGCGGCAAGCACGAGATTACAAGTAATATGGCATCAATACTTCAATAAGAGTGATTCTATGTATAGATTTGATTCGTTTTATAAATGTGTGTTCGTGTTCATCTTCCCATGAATATAAATGCTGTGACTTGAAGTACATTGCCAGTGCCTGACTACAAGTGTATCACAAGCAGGCTACAAAACTATCATTAAGCAGCTGTTTAACTAGCAACTTTGTTATTTGGCCGAGCTACGGGATTTGTGTCGAACTACAAATACGACCCTTGCCTAATCAAGACCTGACATCCACTGATCATCATGAAGTTGTTAGCTGACAAGCCTGTACAGGATTCATATGTCAACGTAGCTGAAAAATCAGCTATAACTGCCTTGCCTTAATTGGCACATAATCCCCTTGCTTGTCCAAACGTCGTCAATGTAGAAACATATAATTCATATAACACTGAAGAGCGGGCGCATGGTCGATCTGCACGAGCTAACCACTGAAGGAGAAAAGCTCGCGAGATACAAAACATCCTCATAAGGACATGCGATCGTATCGCCCCGTGTTCCAGAGACCCTCCTGCGGTGGCGGGGACGGGAGAGGGGCGGACAGTAGTGAACGCAATCGGGAATGGGGTCTGAGACTGGGTGTGGGACTGGGTCAGAAGGACGATCTCTTCAGCAGAGGTCCTCACTGAGCGGGGCAGCAACGCGTTCGCAGGAGGGAGCCTCTGAAGAGCATTTGACCGAAGAAGCTCCCTTGGCGGGAGCCGACTCATCCACGCGATCACCACATCGCACCATCACCACATCGCACCATCACCATATCGCACCGAGCCGCCTGGTGATCGCACGGCAAACTGGTGCCGCACATGCACCCGAAGTGCCAAAGAGCGAGAGCGACTATCTATCGCTGGATCCCAGCGCCGGAGAAGCACAATTTTCGGCCGAGGCAATGCTAAAACGTAGACCCCTCCAGAAAAAATTAAAATGTGAAAGTCTACGTTGTAAGTAATGAGTACAATTAAGTTTTTAAGGTAAAAAAATAGAAAATTTTATGAAATATCAGATTAGAGCCATCCGTCCCATCATCGGGCCACTTCACATGCCGGGCCCCCGGCGGTTGCCTGGTCTGCCCATGTCTAGCTCCGGCATTGCTCGATACCGATATACGAAAAGCGCTGAACTCACAGTAAACTGCACAAATAAGGGGATATTCCAATCGCTGTCATCACAACGAGAGGTTCTTCAGCTCTTTTCAGAACTGAAATACATAAATTCTGTTTTAAAAATATTTTTCGAGATAATATTTTCCCAAAATGTAAAGAAAATATTTTCCACATGAGGCGACCCATGATTCTACTCTGGTTGGTTTCTAACATTTAAGTTCACTGCTTCGTCCGACTTCAAACAGGAATGTGACAATACACAAGCTTCTCGCAGGAAGAGATTGCTAAATGCATGGAGTGTAGGGTTTGCGAAGGTGCTTTCACAGGTCTTCCGCGCCCATAGCCATCAGGCTGGTACTCGTACACCATGGCAGGCCCTGGCCACACTAGTGCCAGGCTCTATATACACAGAGTTTCTTTAAAGATTCAAACTTTAAATATTATTATATTTTTTAGGGGAACGTGAATATATGAGAAGACTAATAATCTTAACCTGAAAACTTTTAAAACGATGGTTTGTTCAACATCGAATATGAATTCTCCTTTCCCTTCAAGCTTGTTAAGGAGGGATGAATTGCGTTCTCTGCGATCCGTTCTCATTCTCCAGAGCATTGTCAACCGCCACTTCTCCAGTAACGAACAACCGCCTAAGATCTTCCGTCTCCAACTGAGTGGCAGAGATCAATGGCCTCTCTTGGAGGGGCCCACGTCAGAAATAGTCGGTACTAAATTCATTTCTTGTGATCCACACATTATTTGTATAGTCCAGAGAATCGTTGCGGCAAAGGTTCAGACGATGAACGATCATTTCCATTTCACGATGAATTCCTGTAATTTCTGTTTTG